GGTAGGGAGCTCCTGCCAACCTAGCAGTTCAAAAGCACGCCAAAAAGTGCAAGTAGATAAATAGGTACCGCTCCAGCAGGAAGGTAAACGGTGTTTCTGTGCACTGCTCTGGTTTTGCCAGAAGCGGCTTAGTCATGCTGGCCACATGACCCAGAAAAACTGTCTGCAGACAAACGCCAGGTCCCTCGGCCTGTAAAGCGAGATGAGCGCCACAACCCCAGAGTTGTCCATGACTGGACTTAACTGCCAGGGGTCCTTTACCTTTACCTTTTAGGGGTAGGGAGGAAATTTGATTCGGTTTGTACTTAAAGGTGAATCTATCTAACTCACGTTTTCTGAAACAACTCACGAATCAAAACACACAAAATTGACTCTCCTCCAATTTTTGCATTGCATTTCTCCAGCTAACTATTGCATACTGCAGTTCCCATGTAATAAGTCACAATGGCTTCCACAGAACTGGCTTTGATCCATTGCTATGAAGCAACACAGTTAACCTGTCCTTCGTAAATACAAAGAATTCCCTAAACAGATATTAACTGTTTTAAATAACTCTCATGGAGGTGCAAGCAGCATTTATCCTAACCTAGCAAAGCACTGTGGACCTGAATAGAGATACATTATGTTCCCAACTCTTTCATCACGATGTTCTTCCCAGAGAAGTCTGAAATACACAAATCACTTGGGGTATGGATGGTGAGAGTTGCTTCTACCAAGACATTGTCCATCACCTCTGCAGAAACAGTGTCACTTTCCTTCAGAAGAATGATTGACATTCATATGTTTCTTGATTGCAGCCTATGCAATCGGGTCTAAACCCTGACTGAAATGAATCTAGAAAATCCATGTGAGGTTCAGAGAGTAGTAACATGAGAATGGGCCTTTTCTGCAGTGGCTCCCTATATGTGGAATGCTTTCCCCAGGGAGGCTCACCTGGTGCCTTCATTACATATCTTTAGGTACCAGGTGAAAACATGTCTCTATTACCAGTCCTTTTATGGATTAAACAATCTATGGCCTCCTAAATGTATTTCCTTTTTTGGTGAGGGTTGTTATTGGTTTGCCTTTGTTTGCTTTTCGTTTTGTGTTTTGTGTTCTTATTTTGTAATTTTGTGTTGTGAAACGCCCTGTGATCTACGGATGAAGGGTGGTGTGGTAATAATAATAATAATAATAATAATAATAATAATAATAGCTGTGTCCCATTTACAGTTAGGTAATTTTAGATTCTGCATTTAATGGCCTAATGGATCTCCCCCTCTTTAGATGGTGATGTGTATTACTTCAGTTCAAAATGTATCATTTCAGTCCTGCTGCAGTTGGAGACCCCATTTTGCTGTTTGGGTCCCTGGACATCTGCAAAGTCCTGTCCTGACAACATCCCTGCCCTGATCTCAGTTGAGACCAAATAACTTCTGCCTGCATAGCCCTGCCCTGAATTCCATTTCTTGTCATACTGAAATGTGATAAAAGTGGGATTCACCTCAACACTGAATCATTTCTACTTTGCATTTGATGATTTAAATAAATCTTGACAAGTGTGTGATGCTGGTGCCTGTTAATTTGTACAGTTGTTGATTGTGCTCATTTTCAAGTTCTCTAAGTCTGTAGGGAGAGGCTATTTTTATTTCTCCTCCTTTGTACTCCTCTGCCCCCTCATATAAATGCATTTCAAATGAGTGATTTCCACTAGGGATTGCCATGGATGCCTCTCTTTCAACAAATTTATTTTTAGAAAAACATTTAAGTTTGGCGTGGCTGTCTTATTGAGTTCTTTGGATCTTAAAAGCTCCTAGATGAGAATGATGACTTAATTAGATTCTGTGCAAGTCAGGAAAACCAGCACTGGGCAACAATTTAACCACAGCACGCCCTGTTCGATAGGTGAGCCGCCATTTTAAATTTGGGGACACCATTAAACATTCCCACAATGCTCTGGAGTGATGCTACATTGGGGACTACCTGATAGGTCTATGGCTACAGTCACTAGCAGACACAGCTGAGGGCCCCATTCAAATATTGTTGTTGTTTAGTCGTATCCGACTCTTCGTGACCCCATGGACCAGAGCACGCCAGGCTCTCCTGTCTTCCACTGCCTCCCACAGTTTGGTCAAACTCATGCTGGTAGCTTCGAGAACACTGTCCAACCATCTCATCCTCTATCGTCCCCTTCTCCTTGTGCCCTCCATCTTTTCCAACATGAGGGTCTTTTCCAGGGAGTCTTCTCTTCTCATGAGGTGCCCATTCTATCCATTCTGAAGGAAATCAGCCCTGAGTGCTCACTGGAAGGACAGATCCTGAAGCTGAGGCTCCAATACTTTGGGCACCTCATGAGAAGAGAAGACTCCCTGGAAAAGACCCTGATGCTGGGAAAGATTGAGGGCACAAGGAGAAGGGGACGGCAGAGGATGAGATGGTTGGACAGTGTTCTCGAAGCTACCAGCATGAGTTTGACCAAACTGCGGGGAGGCAGTGGAAGACAGGTGGGCCTGGCATGCTCTGGTCGGACACAACTAAATGACTAAACAACAACACAGATCAGACATAATTGAGCATATGCAAATTTCATACAAATGTGTGCCATCTTTGAAGGCAGTGCATTTTGCCTTTCTGGGGTGATATATTAAGGATCCATCCTTCTGTTTCAGCCATCACAATTTTAAGAATCACTGCATTTTATTTGCCACCTTTGGGATGTACCTTGTCCAATCCCTGGTGACTTTTCAGTTCTAGCAAAGTTTTCTTTAAAAAAAAGATGAAAGGAAAGAAGGCACCTGTCCATTATATTTTTAAAAAGTAGACAACGTGTAACTTTTTTGAACGCTTTTGAATGCACACCCTGCTTTCTCCTCTTTGACAGAAGCAGTATTTCAGAAGATACCAGAGAGGCGGTATTTATGGCAGGTGCATTATTACTTAGAAACTAATCTTGCACACATGGCTGTTAACGTGAAATATGGATTTTAATAATCCCAGCTCGGTGAGAGATGTGAGTCTGCCTGGTGGGGATGTGATTAGCCACAGTCTGCAAGATTAATTGAGATGTACAGCACAAGATTACATCCAGAGAACTCCAAACCTGTCTGATTATGCAAGAGATCGCTTAGTTAAGGCTGTATCTTTCCGGATATAAGAAACAGATAAATTATGTCCTCTATGCTTGCTCAGGATAACCTTCCCTTGTTTTCAAGCCACAAAGAAGAAGAAGAAAGTGGGGTGCAATACCCAAACACCCAACACCTGGGAATGGGATATTTTAATGATTTATCAGCAAAAAAAGCTTGTGAAATAAATTCCCCTGGCTTGGAGAATATGAGAACTCCTGGCACTGACTAGCAGGAGATACGAGACTTTGCTGAACAGTAGAGCATCTGCTTTGCATGCAGAAGTTCCCAGGTTCAATTGCTGGCATCTTCAGGTAGGCTGGGAAATGACTCCTTACCTGAAACCCTGGAGAGATGCTGCCAGTCAGTGTAAACAGTATTGAGCTAGATGCAGCAATGGTCTGATTCAGAATAAGGCAGCTTCTTACATTTCTACGTTCCTCTAAAAGAGGATCAGACAAAATCATGGTGGGTTGATCTACAAAGCCTATGAGCTGTGATGGCGATATACATGTTCAGGGAAAAAAATATGTTCCTACCAAGTACTGGTTTTCCCAGTAGTGATGTATGGAAGTGAGAGCTGGACCATAAAGAAGGCTGATCGCCGAAGAATTGATGCTTTTGAATCATGGTGCTGGAGGAGACTCTTGAGAGTCCCTTGGACTGCAAGAAGATCAAACCTATCCATTCTGAAGGAGATCAGCCCTGAGTGCTCACTGGAAGGACAGATCATGAAGATGGGGCTCCTAGACTTTGGCCACCTCATGAGAAGAGAAGACTCCCTGGAAAAGACCCTGATGTTGGGAAAGATGGAGGGCACAAGGAGAAGGGGACGACAGAGGACGAGATGGTTGGATAGTGTTCTCAAAGCTACCAGCATGAGTTTGACCAAACTGTGGGAGGCAGTGGAAGACAGGAGTGCCTGGCGGGCTCTGGTCCATGGGGTCATGAAGAGTCGGACACGGCTAAACGACTAAACAACAACAACAACCAAGTACTGTGAATATAAATAAAGGAAAGATCCGGTGCTTCCATGCTCTGCTTTTGGGTTTCCCAGGAGGACTTGCCTGTCCTCTCTAGGATGCTGGGCTAGATGTATTTTTGGTGAGATTCAACAGGGCTCTTATGTTCTTCTTTCTTCTGCTGTTACTTACCCTTTTAAATGAGTTGGTCTTCAGATTTCTTTTAGTCTTGTGTTTTAGTGATGGTGATGGATAGTTTAATATGATATAAGTTAGCCCAAAGGCCCTTTCCCAGCCCAGTGGCAGGATAAAGATTTTTTGGCAATAAATCCAAACAAAATGAAATATTTACATTATGGATGGCCCACATTCCAGCTGCTCCCGGTGACATACAAACGCACCATACAACGTAGTGACAAAGCAGAATCCGTTTGGGAGGTGCCATGGGCTGGATGAGGGCCAATAAATCAAAACTCAGGCCTGGCAATCCAAAAGTGCTATATGGAACAGTGGTTGGTTTGCCCAGAGAGGTGGTACTCAACCAGATCTGGAGCGGATTGGACTAGAGTCACAAATCATGACAAAGGGGATTCAAAAAATCTGACATGCTTTTTTTTTTTTGCTACACCTTGCGTGAAACTCATAAACCACAAAGAGCTTTTTTCTGGAGAGTGAATAAGAACACAGAGGACCACAGCTGATTTGAATGCATTAATGTGGGGATCAGCACAATGTTTTTAAGCCAGTGCCAGATGCCATCGCACAGAGGGTGTGTGTCTCTGGTGCTTCACAAAGAATTCGTTGCATGCGGAGATGTGTAATATAAGAGCATCCTCTCACTTTCTGAGTCTTTTGGCTGACAAAAGCCATCAGGATGTCATGACCGCTCCTACCCCCCTACCAAAAGAATTCTGTGAACTCTATCTTTGGGGAAGGACGGTGGCTCAGTGGTAGAACATCTGGCTTGTAAGCACAAGGTCCCAAGTTCAATCCCTGGAATCTCCAGGTAGGCTGGGAGGGACGCCAGCCTGAAAATCTGGAGAACTACTGCCAGACAGGCTAGACAATACTAAGATCAGGGGTCAGCAAACTTTTTCAGCAGGGGGCCGGTCCACTGTCCCTCAGACCTTGTGGGGGGAAATTAATGAATTCCTATGCCCACAAATAACCCAGAGATGCCTTTTAAATAAAAGCACACATTCTACTCATGTAAAAACACCAGGCAGGCTCCACAAATAACCCAGAGATGCATTTTAAATAAAAGGACACATTCTAGTCATGTAAAAACACACTTTCTGGACCGTCCACAGGCTGGATTTTGAAGGCGATTGGGCCGGATCCAGCCCCCAGGTCTTAGTTTGCCTACCCATGACTAAGATGAATGGTGTGGCTTGGTATAAGGCAGCTTCCTGCATCTCTATGTCCACTGTCAGAGGCAGCAAGCCTCTTAATAGCAGTTGCTGGCAACCACAGGTGGCAAGAGGGCTGTCGCACTCAGGCTTTGCCTTGTGGGCTTCCCATGGGCCTCTGCTAGAGCAGGATGCTGGACTAGATGTGCCTTTGATCTGATCCAGCAGAACTCTTCTTATATTCTTATATACTTCTGGAGAGGGAACAAGAGGGGTCAAACAGCATATGGGTGCTGTCACATTCACAGTGTCAAGGAATAAGTTTTATGAAGGTGGAAGCCACCGGAAAACTCTGGTAAATTCTAGCATTTTGTAAGTGTCTCTAAGATTCTGGAAGCACAGAACAGCACAGCTGCTGTTTACAGGCTGTGCGCTATCTGAACCTCAAGGCCAACTTCTCCAGGGACAGGCTATCATTGCTGTCCAATGGGCAGCTCACTACTCCTTTCTTTCTTTCCTACTGGACTGTACATTTTCTTAATTTCATTTTTGCATTAATATTGCACAACTTTTTTTTAATCGCTTGTAACTGGATTGCACTCTGAAAGTTTTGGGGGGGACCTTGCTCCATCTCAGCATGAACTGTGCATTTTGAACCTCAGTAAACAGAACTGTTTACAGAAAGCTGCTGTTTTCCATGTGGTCTTTGCGAGGTAAAAGCTCTTCACGTGTTTGGTAGCTTCCACTACTCTGCTAATTCAAGGAGACAGGGGTGTATCTGGTTTTGGGACGCTGTACCTTGTGAGACACGGGTGGCGCTGTGGTCTAAACCATAGAGCCTAGGGCTTGCTGATCAGAAGGTTGGCAGTTCGAATCCCCACGACGGGGTAAGCTCCCATTGCTCGGTCCCAGCTCCTGCCCACCTAGCAGTTTGAAAGCACGTCAAAGTGCAAGTAGATAAATAGGTACCGCTCTGGCGGGAAGATAAATGGCATTTCTGTGCGCTGCTCTGGTTCGCCAGAAGCAGCTTGGTCATGTTGGCCACATGACCCGGAAGTTGTCTCCAGAGAAATGCCGGCTCCCTCGGCCTATAGAGCAAGATGAGCGCGCAACCCCAGAGTCGTCCGCGACAGGACCTAACGGTCAGGGGTACCTTAACCTTAACCTTAACCTCATGATACAGAACCACAGTTCATCAGCGGAAGCCATGATTCAGTTTTCATCCACATTTGGTTTGAAGCATATATTTCATTTTTATTTTATTAAATCTATATACTGCCCTTCTTCTGAAGATGACAAGATGGTTTCCAGAATATGAATCCAGTGATTCTATTTAACATTCCCTTTATATGGGGTACATCCAGTTTTCCACAATAAGTCAACAAGTGCACTTGTGAAGTGCTTATTTCTGGAAGTTTCAGGATCAGTAAACTATATATTTTGGGCAGGGCCCACCTCTGGCGTTTTCCTTATATATAAAAATTTCCATATATTTAAAATGGTGCCCTGGGAGGCACCATTTAAACATCTCTGAGCATGACCCACATCTTTTGTGGCTAAAGCAATTCTTTGATTCCAAATGTGCCTGGGATCTGAATTGCCTGTTGCTCTGTGAGTGTGATATGCTGTCATCTTATTTTGGAAGGATAAAAAGTATTGCTATAATGGTAAAGTCTGGAAATATCAAGTGAAAGAAGAGATGGGAGCATTCTTGAGGTTCTGGTGAGTATCTGAGTTACACTATGTCAGGGAACTGCCATCGGAAGGAAGGGAGGTGAAAGGACTCAGACAGGTTGGAAGAGATTCAGCAGCTGAAGAGGGAACCAGCAAGGGGAGAGAAGCTGAACTGAGGGAGGTGAAAGGGCTCAGACAGGTTGGAAGAGACTCAGCAGCGGAAGAGGAAACCAGCAGGGGAGAGAAGCTGAACTGAGGGAAAGGGAGCTGGGGGATGGCTCAGAGATACTTCCAGCGAAAACAGTGGTGAGGTTTCCGGACCTCCTGTAGCGACACCCACTCCTCGCCGGAAACTGTCACGCAGAGAGTCCAGAAGACGTGTTTCCGTTAAGGAGCTTTTATGTTGGAAGCGATTACGAAAGCAACCACTGTCGGAATCTTCTAGTGACTAGAGGAGCCATGTCAGAGGGGCTCAGTCACAGACAGAGGTTTGTGGACTTGAACAAACTCTGAGGGAATACGATTTTACGCACAAGCAGCTCATAATCCCATCACAGCATTCCGACAGTCTTTGAACGCAGCTTGTGCAGGAGAAGGCATAATGAGCAACCCAGCAGGAACCGGAGAAGCAGGGGCTGGAGCGGGTCCAAGCCTGGAAGAAAGGTACCGGGTGTTGGAGGTCCAGCTGGCGCTGCAGACGGCGAGGCTGGAGGAGAGGAGGGCTCAAGATGCAGACAAAGGGAGAAAGCCACCCAGCTCGCCAGAAAGGTACCAGGATTGGTGCAGAAATTTGGGGGGGAGCCCAAAGACTATCATAGCTTTCGGACAGAAATGCAATATGCCCTCAATCTGCAGTTTGATGATTTCCCTGATGAGGAATCACGAGTGGCTTTTGTGATTGGGCATCTTGAAAAGGGGGCGAGAGACTGGGTGAGACCCCTGATGGCAGCGCATAGTGACGTCCTAAAGGACACGATGAAGTTCTTTCGCGCCATGGATCTGATGTTTTCCAGCGATATTGAAAAGGGAGTGGTGCGCAGACAGTTAATGGCTTGCAAACAGAGGAGCCGATCTGTACGTGAGTCCTGGACTGAGTTCACCATGCTGATACACAGATTGGGGTGGGACTTATCGGCGGAACCCATTCAAATGCTCTTTGAAGAAGGGCTTTCTTCGGCTGTGAAAGATGAACTGTCCCGGGCGCCCAGGGGCGGAGTCTATGGACCAGCTGACCAAATCAGCGCTGGCCATAGGAGCGCGCCAGGAGGCGAGAGCATTGGAGAGGCGGGAAGGGAAAGGGGAACGTTGGAAGGAGTTCCGCATTCCAGACATTCCAGAGCCAACTGTCCCGCCGGCAGAGCCGATGGAAATCGGAACAGCGCGCGCGCGCAGTTTCAAAGCCCAGTGAGGGGGAAAGAAGGATGGAAAAGGCGCCCGGAAATGCTATCTCTGCCAACAGCCAGGGCACTTTGCCAGAGTCTGCCCCCAGAGGAAGGAATGGCAAGGGATGGTGGGAGCTGTGGAGGGAAGAGAGGAAAAATACCGGAGCAACTAAAAGCCAACGCCTGGCTGCCATTGTCGGGGCACAGCAGCCAGGCCAAAGAGCAGTGAAAGTGCCCACTCCAGAACCTCCTAAACCCGCCCTAGTGATAGAAGTGACACTAGAGCTGCCAAACGGACACCCTCTAAAGATAAAGGCGCTGTTGGACTCAGGCAGCTCCTGCAATTTCATGAGCAAAGAGTTTGCAGCTGAACACCAGATACAGACGCTCCCTTTAAGCAAACCCCTGCAGGTAACCACGATCGATGGCAGGGAGCTGTTGGGAGGAGAAGTCAGCTTGCAGACCGTCCCAATGATAATGAAGGTGGCAAGGCACACCGAACTAATAGCATTTAATGTGGCCACCTTGGGAGGAGCTCCCATTATATTGGGGATGAGCTGGCTAGCGTTACATGATCCGCTGGTGGGCTGGCATCAAAGAGTGGTTTCTTTTGGGTCAGCACATTGCTTAGAACATTGCAAAGAGGGAAGGGTTTTGGCAGGGGCCCAAGCCACTCTAGCAGGGACTGAAGTGACGGAGAACGTGAAGGTACCACGACAATACGCAGATCTCCGCGACGTCTTCAGCGAAAGGGAAGCTGACCAACTACCACCGCATAGAGCCTTTGACTGTCAAATCAATTTGCTCCCTGGGGCACAGCTCCCTGTGGGCAAGCTGTACGCCATGTCAGACAGAGAGATGCAGGAGCTAAGAGAGTTCATTGACAAGAACCTGAAGAGAGGGTTCATCAGAGAGTCCAGGGCGGTGGGGGCAGCCCAGTGTTTTTGTGGACAAAAAACACGAACAAGCCGAGACTGGTGTGTGACTTCAGGGCCTTAAATGCAGTGTCAGAACCAGTGGCCTTCCCGATGCCCAGGATTGACGACATTTTGACAAGGGTGCGGAAGGGAAAGATTTTTACCAAGCTGGATCTAAGGGGGGCGTACAACCTGATACGAATAAGGAAGGGGGATGAATGGAAAACCACCATGTTCACCCCTTTAGGGGCATTTGAATACTTAGTTATGCCCTTCGGTCTACAAGCAGGCTCCGCAACATTTCAATCGTTTATGAACCACGTCCTGGGGCCGTTGCTTTACAAGAATTGTGTGGCCTTCTTAGACGACGTGTTGGTGTATTCTGAGAATGAGGAGCAGCATGTGAGAGACGTCAGAGAAGTGTTGAGCAGGCTGCAAGCCAACCAGCTGTGGGTGAAACTGGAGAAGTGTCAGTTTCATACCAAGGAGGTGGAATTCCTGGGGTATCGCCTGTCTGACAAGGGGTTGGCCATGGATCCCGACAAGGTCCAGGCGGTACTGGAATGGAAAACACCCAAAACAAGGAAGGATGTGCAGAGGTTTTTAGGGTTTGGGAACTTCTATCGTAAGTTCATCCCAAACTTTGCCCACCTGACGGCGCCCATTACGGACTGTCTCAGCAG